AGTTAGAAATAACTTGCTGGTCCATGGGCTGGAATAACGGAGTGGTGTTGGAAGGCAGAAACTGGATCTCAATGAACTTAAATTCTTCAGAAAGATCATTTTGTAGGCCTGGAGGATTGATGTACATATATCACAATATAAATCAAATTTGAGAAAATGTGTTATCACAAGCGACACTACGATGCTACTGGAACGAGTGCTAAACACAGACTGATATAACATGCGCACAGTTCGGGACTTCCCCTCTCCTTGTCACTCGTTATGCGAAACGTCGCTCGTTAAGCAAGTCATTTTTTTTTTACATTTTATTTTGCTCGTTATGCGAATCACTCGTTATAAGAGGTGCTCGTTAAGCGAGGTTCTACTGTATTCTGAGATCTTTTCCGTCTACATTGATGTCTTCAAACATTTTTATTACAACCTCCACAGTGGAATATGGAAGTGACTGGTATACCACGACATTATAACTTGCCTGACATTCAGGAACATGATGGCGGTTGGCACAAAACGGATGAAAGCAAAGGCGTATTACTTTTCGACCGATGTTTGCAGCAAACAAACCAAACGGATACTGAAAGTAGAACAAATGTGAAGGAAGCATTCACAGATTTTTGCAAAACTGTTACTCCTGAAGGAGAACTCTATATCACTGTGGATGAAATAAAAGACCCATAAAAAAAATTAAATTTAAAATTACAAAATAAGAATAAATAAATTCGAGTCCGATATGAAGAGTTTTCTAAACTAACAGACGAGGAACTATCGTAACTTCACAATGGATAGAACAATAGCATAAGGACAGGCAAGTAAATGTAACATGGCTTCAGTTATTTAATACTCGCCAAAGCCTGGCAATGAACGAATTATCCGTATATAAAACACCATTAGAAAACTGCTAGAAAACACAGTGGCAAGGAAAATTACCCATAAATTAGAACAAATAGGTAGATTACTATAAACGTTAAGAGGATAATGACCACATAGAGATACATGGAGTAATGCCGACGATGAATGTTTCAATGCAGGAGTGGACACGTGTGTTGACACTAGACACTTGGAAGGTGCATACAACAAGGTTCTCTTTGAAAAACACATATACCAGTTCCTAAAAATCAACACCCCCCCCCCCCCCCCCCCCCCCCACACCACATACCACACACTCATTAAATTTTTACCAGCAGCACTCTTCAAGAGATTTTTTTTTCCCTTTAAATGTGGAAGATTGATCTTTGAGTTGAAAACCACATACGCCCAGGATTACCCCAAGGGTCAACTTCATTCCTAGTCCTCTTCATTATTTTCACTAATGAGGTGACAAAAATGTCAACAACAAAAAATCTGAAGGAAAAACACTCTGATACGCTGATGACATACAAGTGTACCACCAAGGCAAAAACTGGGAAAGAATTGTAGAACTCCAAATAGAAACTGGGACGCATAACCGATTGGGGTCGAACCTCCGGAGCACAGATTAACCCTGCAAAAGCGACTGCAACTTGGTTCTCTTTAAACAACCACACAGTACACACAATAACGCCCTCTGTGCATATGAATGGTGAAGAGGTAGCAAGGACTGAACTTTTAAAATATCTGGGAGTAGGTTTTGATTGGAGCCTTAGCTGCAGATTCCAAGTTGATACTAAGATCAACAAGGCCAGAAAGGGTTTGGCTGCAATGAGAGTTATGGTTATCATGTGTGGTCAGCCCTCAGCAAGACACCAATCGACAGACTAGAGAAGGTACAAAATGAAGCAATGCTTATTATACTTAGCCGCAACCAAAGACAGATCACGAAGAGCAATCAGATATGTACTAAATCTTCCAGATATAAACAGCAGGCTAGAAATGTGACAAGCGTGCGCCTACCTCAAAATCATCGAGGTCTTTACACACCCAATGCACGATGAACTAAATACGCGTAAAGGTAAAAGACTTAAACGAGCCGTCTTGTTTGGGGCGTGCAGAGACAGTACTTCAACGGGTGATATCCCTTTACTATACAAGCCGTGATGAGGAATGGATACTCATACCACATCAATACAAACAGTACTTTGTGGTTATCACCCTGACAAGACAGTGCTGTGATTTGGCGCCACCAATAGTTGATGCAGAAGTGAAAGCATTGGCTGGGAAACACACATTATCGGAAGACATATATATATAAATATATAAGATTTCTCTACGATTTGTCAGAAGCGTAATGCATGGACTTTCACTGCAAGACACACAGATAAAGTCATTAAAGAATACAGTGGAGCATGGCACTAGAGGTCATGGCTGTGACAATGGCCCTAATATGGCTGCGAACTCAGGAATGCACAAATACATGTTTGCTCAGCGACTCAGTGAGCAGGCTACAATAGTTAAGTACGGAATACATTCAGAAACACTGGTTCCATCTGATTCAGCACGCAGCAGTTTTCAAAATCACCTTCACTGTCGTCCCAGGGAATGCTGGTGTGAAAGGCAATGAGAGAGCAGACACTCCGGCTGGCAGTGGGAATGACACTATCAGGCAAATTGTGTGAACGACACCTTGTACTAGATTCATCGAGAAACAGCAGATCAAGTGGTTTAGCCATTTCGTTAGATTGCAGCAAGATCAAATACCATCACAAGCACTACATCTCAGAAGATCAGCTACAAGAGCAAGAGGACGGTCGCGGAAAACATAGATCGAGAACATTAAAGACACTCTACGCCTTCACGGCATGACAATAGCCAGTGGCAGCTAACGTGCACTGGATCGCAAATTATTCCTCCCTGTCGTATGGCAGTTTTGTCACGCACCTTACTTACAGGATATTTTCACAAATCCCTCAGGTGCTCTGAGACAGGAGTGTTTTGAATGGTGGCTCTCGTTCGTCTAGAGGCCTAACCCTCGGTTCAAACTTTCCATTCAACCTGTTTCAGGGATGAGGTGACACGAGCTCTGACTCCACAGGGTTATTATGAACACTTGGGTACCTCTCGGCCAGACGTCCTCACCACAGATTGCCCCCAGACTGGATCAAACAAGTCCAGTCGAACAAATAATCAACAGCGAATTTGACAAGACAACACTGCCTCTCTGAATAAGACAATGAAATTCAGTAACACGAAACTTTTCTATCAACTAGAAGACTACTGAATTATATCACGATTGTAATTAATTTACTATAACAAAGTTAATGAAAACCGTAGCGAAGAAATAAAAGGAACGATCGCAACTTTGAAAATCTAACACAAGAGAAAGAATTCTTCTAAATAGACCTATAGACTATCGAGTTCATCACTGCGGAGGAGATGACCTGACCATGAAGGCACATTTAGAGATGAGTTATCTTAGTCCGCCACGTCACTTATCTGATCAGATCTCGTAGCTCCTTAGCGTCTCAGAATGGAGTAATACGCCACCGTACTTTACTGCACGGCTCCCTCGGACTGAATCAGTTTCTCCGGATGTTGGAAAGGAAACCGTCACTGCCGTACTTCCCAGTACGGCCACACATGAACGACTCAGCTTCTGGTATTAATCAAGCACTGTCATCTTACTTCACTGGACCGGATCAGTTTCGGGTGTTGATCCAAGAAACTCAATTCACTATTGAGAGACTCCGGCTCCAATGTCTTCCGCTCATTCAACACCGTAATTCAGCATACGTAATCGCTTACTGGGTCGTGGCAGTTGAAACCACACTATCATACATAGACACTTGTTGGATCTTCAGAAAATACTGAAAAACGTAAAGTAACAGACATGAGCGAACCGTACTCAACGCACCCATATAATCAAGGTCCTTACTTCCTCCAAATGCTCAGATATATTTTAGGTTATTCCAAACCGTGAAGGTTGGTTACCTCAATCTTAGAATCCTTTTTGTTTCCTAGAGTGAGTACTAGATCATTAACTCGAAGAGTTCCTGGATTCAGTTCTGTGGCAAAGGTTAGACAGATCCCCATTATTTACCCTTCCTTCTAACGTAGAAAATAGGGGATCAGCGATGAAGTCAAAACCAAGACCGACTGAAATATGTTATGAAAACAATACGACAGTCGAAGCTTGTTGTGGTTACGAAATCACCTAGCAACAGCGGACATGACGTCATACCTGCCCAGACTTCTTGTCATTCACAACAATTCAGTGACTTTCCAAGTTCTGATACCGAATACTAGCAAATAATTAACAATACAAAGTTATCAATACTACAAACCCACTCCAGATATGTAGATTGATTGAATTGAAAAGGTTTAAAAGGCCATTTCAAAGCATTCTGCGAGAAATGTCAACCGAAAGTGCCTTCCGATCCAGAGCTCCTTTCGCCGTCTTCCATAGCAAGAATCGTAGGCAAACAGATTCGCATTATCCAGCTGCTGATCTTACTTACCTACATCACAGACACTATGAACGCAAATATTCAATTAAAAAGTCCTTAAGAAAACTCACCCATGATAACTAAAAAAGAGAATAAGGAAACTTGTCTCTATAACGGTCAATCGGCGAGACACAAGGAAAAACGCCTGCCTCCAAGACCGGACTGTAGAGAAGTGACGCACACAAACACGTCTCCTAACTACAGCAGTTAGCGTATGAATCCCGCTCACTAATGCAGTGCCGTGGTCAGACAATTTATTTAGAATAGGCGTAGAAAATGTGTCCTAACATTTAATTCGACACTCAACGCCTAAAAGAGTCATTATCAAAGGGTTTTATATGGATTTTTCCTATCAGGACTCCCCCACAACAAACGAACTATCTAACTATGCTTGGCCTATTCTAATACATAGTTACGATGACGAGTTTAGGGTGTTCAGCTTGTGGACCTTCCTACTGTGGCAGATGTGTGGATGCTGTCATGCGACACTCCCCACGGGGCTTAACCAGAAGTGGTTTATGATGATGATGATGATGATGATATTTAAAATAAACAATGAACATTTGCAGTATACATTCAACTAAATTATTAGTCATGGCTTGTTTTGTATTAGTTATTTCTTTCTAACGGCATGGCTGGTAAAATTCAAAATCTAAATTTACGTGATTTCCTAAATCTATTATTAGCCCCAACATAAATAACAAAATCGCCGATGCAGTTGATACACAGTAGCAGGTCCTCTACAGATCCCAACAAATCCGTCAGCGGCAGATCCTGGGCTACCTGTGTAAAAGTTGCCAAGTATCCAATTGCAAACGCAAAGCCACTGCAGAAAATGTACAGGACACAGATGCTAAATAAAGTTTTCGTCGTCTTTGATATCAAGTGTTTGTTTGTTGATTTTGCTTGACGTAAAGTGAGCGTTTTACGTTTGTTGGTTACTACTGTTATCTGGGTGCCAATAATAACACAGCCGATTGTTACGAGACATATTGGGATTATTCCTGTCACGTAATTGACTATATGTTCTAATAATCCATATAATCCACTTTCAACAGCATATCTGTATAAGTCAGTGTAAACAATTCTACTAAGACTGATGCCTTGTACTATAAAATGTTTCAACTGTAGACTTAAAATTAAACGGTAAATAAAATACACGCCATTTAAAGCATATAAAATGGAAACTGTAATTACTGTGCGCCGGCGAGTGATAATGAAATAGACTTTTAGTGGGCACAAAATAGCTAAGATACGTTCTCCCGTTATCAGAACTGGGATGCACATTGCTGTCTGAATTCCAATAGTACGAGCACACATAAACGCCAGCCACATTATGTAAAAGATATAGTTGACAGGCGCAGAAAACTGAAATCCTGGTGGGACACTGTTATTGTATACATACAGAGGAAAGTTGTTTACGCCTATGAGAAATAAAATATCAGAGACAGCCAAAGCCAAGAGAAGTATATTGGAACATTTCCGAAATCCCTGTCGAGTCAATAAAACAATGCTGGTCACATTGCCGGCGATGCCCAACAAGCTGAAACAGGGAAGCAGCACGTACTGAAATGATTGATGAATTGTGTACGCAAGTTCTTCGCTGAGCAATGTTCCAGATGTTTGTTCTGTTTCATCGCAATCGCTGCAGTTACTATGGACATTTTCTGACATTTCGTGAATCAATCAATCAAGAGTCGACATGACAGCTTTGGGCATTCTAACGCGTGCTCCGCCTCCTTTCTCAGTAGCTAACAAGGAGTTCACCTACTGTTGGTGTAAAGTAAAGTCCGTCTGTCTTTTCTCGTGCAAGCTGGGCTAAATCCGTTTCTCCAGGTGTAGATACTTCAGTTATATTTCGCCTTGGAATACACATTTGGGTTGTAGTAGTCACCGATTAATCAGTTTGTCCACTCCGGTATGCTATCCAAAGTTTCATATACTCTCCTAAGATTTAAAAAAAAAAAAACAAGTTAAACCCGGACGACAGATCAACAAGGCAGATACCCCGTTCAACCTCCAAGAAGTTATAATTATGGCACCCGTGACGGCTACATCAGCCAGGTTACAACCTGCAGTCCTGTGTGGGTAAGGACGTGAGCTTCACAACAGTTTGATATAGCAGTGACAAACCCAACAGTAACCATGACTGATACCTCGTCACAATCTTCCTCTGCCACAGACAATGGATTTCCTAACATAGCTGTGTTCTTGATCCCGGGACTCTTGGCTCCTGCACTAAATGATTTTATCATCATCAACTCTTCAGTCGCACAGCTGCAGTCGTTGTCTTTTTATAATGACGTGTCTGAAAATAAAGTCACTGCTAAAAATACTAAAACCACATCTGAGGTTCCAAAGAATGTCTTTGTCCCTTTATCATTTGTCCATGATTCGCACCTACATGTTGAAACTGGCCAGAGAAACTAGCATGAAAGACAATTGTCATAAAGTTTATAAATGCACAGAGAGGTGGCATCCATATGAAAGAAAATATGGTAATGTTTTAACATATTTACTTTATATATTTTTTAAGAAGACAAGAAATAACTACAACGTATAAAATGACACTTGCATTGTGGGATATTTCGTTTGAGAACATAATACAAACCGAAGACTGCCTTTGCAAAATTTCCCAGTAGGCTCTAATTGGTGTAATGTGTAATTTCGTGTAAATGCGCGATTTTGGCAGTCCATGACTTTTCCCATTTTCATTTACTTACTCGCGGTTAGACATTCCTTCAGTTAATTTAATTCAACGCGAGCACGCCAGATTACCTGGCTAGCAGCTTAATCTTAACAAGTTCAATATTGCAGGAACAATTTTTAACGGTCGAGAAATTATGTGCGTTGCTTTGCGTACGTTTAATACGATAGAAATCATTCACCGCCCAGCAATGCTAATTGAAAATGATTGTGGTTGTTTCAGGTAAAAGGAAAATTGTTGCAGTAATTTCCTTCTAATTTGTCTCTAGTTTCTCAGCCAGAACACGGAATTCATCATTTCAGACGAGCGGTAAACGTTTCTAGTTCAAAATAGCCATAAATTCTAGCTAGTATTAACTGTTCCATTTAAAGTAATATAACAGAAGCCAAGATTTACTACCTCTCTTAAGTTAGAGTTGGGATTTTGAGCCAAATTTCTGTCAGTAAAGCATTAGGCAGTGATAAATTAGATCGTAGAAATGTTGATAGTTCGAAAATACATGACATCGAGTCCAAGACAAATGTATGACTGTACAATAGGAACATTTATTCATTGATAAATCTGTGTTGTCTTTTGTCCTCTTTCATCCGTTAGAGTATACATCTTCAGCCAATTCCCTTCACGCAGCTCTATCGTTTACAACATTCTACAGCTCACCTCGTGCCTATAGTATTATTAAAGTGTCTCCAATTCTGTACCCACTGGGTGTCTTCTTTTGATTGCTAGATCTCTTTGTATACGTGGGTTCCAGGAACAAGGCATTCAGTCGCCAGGTTATCCCAATGAGCATCAAATCCAGCCTGTTCACTTTCCCTCTTAATTCAAGGGATTTTTTTTTAAGATACATAAGGGTCTCTTGAAAACTGAATAGAAAAAAATATTTACATTCCTAATTATCTGATCATCAAAGGGAATTAGCTTTAAAAAATATCGTCTTTCGTCAACTGGGCCACTTCGGCCACCTATAATGATCTGGAGGAAATGGTAAAGCAGGGATGGACGAATACGACGGTGGGCACAGGGTATCTAGAACACTCTGGGCATGAGGGTTCATGGGGCGGGCAAGTTGGCGAAAGACTGAGTAGCTCTCCGGCGTACAGATAGCTTAAGAACAGAACAACCCGACATGTTGTGATTGTAACAGACTCATAGAGCATGTTTTGGAAAATTGAAACTGGTTTCTTGCCTACAAAGTGGCTTGCATTGCTTGATAAGACCAAGAACAAGAAAATAAGATGGATTTTCTGTCCAGAATATTTAGATGTGCGAGGTAACAAGCAGGCTGATTGGTCGGCTGCTGCCGCCCTTCTAGGTGGTGCGCTACTAAGTGATAAGGCGGATGTGGTGAGGGCTCTATGGGATCAAATGTTTAGTGAAACAGAACAGTTAGGGAATACATATACTGAAAGACAAAGTTAACGGGGTGGGGAGAGGGGTCAGGGCTGTGTAGAGTATTCGCATAGAGAGGAGGGGGGGGGGGGACAGGGGAGGACTTTAAATCAGGTTGCAACTAGTACTACTGACATGTCAACTCTTTGTTGGTTACTGAAGTAGGCGACGGATCACTTGTAGTAATGTCCCGAGTGCGGTCATGTGAATTCTTGATTCATTCATTCATTCCAAGGTACAATTATGACTGTGACGGTCTGCAAAGGACCTGCTACAATACCCGCTGGTATTATCTTCTCAATTGAAAGCTCTTTCCTGGAAAAATAATGAAACGGATCTACTCCAGAAGTTGCTCTCTCTCGTTTCTTTGCACCCTCCAAGAGATAGCGAGGGTGCTATGACATTTTTTTTTAAATATTGCCCTGACAGTCTGATATGACCATATGTCAGTCTTATGTTGCATCATAAATTCAACTGTTTCTGGTTCTTTATTTCCGAGACCACGAATGTTTCATGTTCCCATATTATTTAGTGAGTAATGAGATTTTTCATCACAGCACTCCAAACAGATCCAAAGGTGCTCCGAATTCCTCCTCAATAGTTCTACAAACGTAACACCACTGACTACGCCTGTTCTGTGTTGAATAAAACAAACATCTCGTCCCTTTGGAAAAACTTCATTTCTTGTAGTTTCAAGTTGCACCCTGTATCCATCGGCCTGAACAGGGATACGAAATCACTCCCTTTGTTGCATTCATCTTCCTCGTGAGTGCTGGAGATTTCATTAATGACACTGTTACTGTCCAGTAGTGGACCAGTCACAGAAACCGCATTTAGGCCAGATAATCTGCATGCTCGTTGTCTCGAACACCAACACTACCCAGCCATTTGCGAAGTGCTTAGTGATACAATCCATTATTTTTTGATGAACCTAGCCTGAATTTTGCTCTTGCAAGAATTATATTGTTTGCTTAAATTGTTTACTTTTAAATGCGAGATGACTGCCCAGTTCTAGTGCCATGTTTACTGTTGTTCTTGACGGTTTTCCTAATTTCATTTGAGGTCTTTCGATCTTTTTATTTTTGCAATATTTTACATTTAAATGCACTGCAGAGTTGCTGAACCAGTAGCAGTCTCATTCTTAAAGAACACCAAAAACACTTATGAATCACACCAGAAACCATGACAACAAGGTATATGTTCTGGTCAGAACACAAAGAGCCAATGCCTGCTAAGCCAACCCAGCATCCTGAATATAAATAAGAAGAAATCTATAATATAAATCATAAACCCTATCTGCATTTAATGTGCTCATTATAAATGAAGTGTTAACTCCTGCATAAACGTGACTAAAACACAGGCTAAATTTTCATTTGCCATTTATGACTACAATGTTTAATTCAACAGTCACATTGGCGGCACAGGTTATTGTGCATTTCTTTATTTATTGCGACAACCAGTAAAAATAAACTTTCGCTGGAGTTCAATATTTTTTCCAACATGAATCCATTATATATATATATATATATATATATATATATATATATATATATATATATATATATATATATATATATATATATATACAAGAAACAAAGTCTAAAGTGAATGTTGTAAATGAAGTGGAGATAATATGAAGGATAATGTACCAACCTACTCCTTGAACCTATCTCTACTTTAAGCCTATAAAAGCTCAAACAAATCCTGTCGTTGTGAGTGTACGCCAGCATTACTGTATGAAGTCTAATCAATAGTAGCAGTAAAACTATTCATACTCACTACAAGTTCTAATCCGAATCAAACAACTGGATTTAAAATTATCACATTAAACATCTGTTTATTTTACTGAACACAGAACTCAAGTAGTTCACACACACACACCCAAAAATTACAATACCTTAACAACCAACGGCATGCTCGACCAGACCATGTGCTACTACTTCACTAACAAGGAAATAGTTTAATGAACGCACACGTTCAGAAATATTACATTAGTGATAGCAAAAATCGAAACATTTTTACCTGTAAATTGAGGTTCAACATACCAGCAGATCGGTAAATCGCCCATAGCCACCTGCGGTCAAGATATCTCCGAGCAAGGATACACACTGCTACATAGGTCTGACTCTCACAATTAAATCACTGATGGAAATCTAAGTCCAGCACTGAAACTAACCATTGAGAAGTACTGAAACTGTGAAGTAGCCACTCTATGCCTCTCCACTCACCAGCGGTGTCCGTAGCGCAGCTGGCGAGATCTTAGGGCGGAAGGCTCAAGAGGCCTTCTCATCAATTCTAGTTGTCCAACAAAAATTCCAAATTTGATCCTTTTTCAGCCGCCCGGAGGCCTGCTATATGAAGGAAGGTTCCTTGGCTGTCTTATTTGATTTCCTTTTATTTGTGGTGTGTGATCACACCTGATATTCTGATTCTTTGCTTCCTTGCTGCGGTGTGGTGCCTGTGGTTTTTGGGTCTGATGTGGTCCAGTTCTCTTAATGATTATATCTATGGGTTTTAGCTGAATATTGCTGGTGCTTGGTTTACCTCGTGCTGATCGCTGTGCTGGTGCCCTGTTGCT